TGACCCAATTGTGAAAAAACTCGCGGCATTCGGCGGGATTCGAAACCGCATAGGGGGGAAGGCTTTCCACTCAAGCCAACGGTCTACCTACTTGAGCTACGAATACCACGCTTGGGTCAACTAAATTAACCAAATCTGCCAAACCTCCTTAATAATTATGTCACCCTAGTAGTCATTCTGGTGGATTCCAGATGATTGCTTAGGAACTCCTGCTTGGGCAGTCAACTTGCTGTCCCGTATTGGTGGATTCCGTACGAGCGGCAAAGTTGGGCGGGTAAAATCGATCCAAGTTTGATTAAACTCACGGTTTGAAGCGTGGAATTCGTAGCTCAAGTAGGTAGAGCGTTGGCTTGCGTAGAAGGCCCTCCCTCCTGTGCGGGTTCGAATCCTGCCGAATGCCGCGAGTTTTTCCAAAATTGGGTCAACTAAATGCACACTGTGATTGACTTTGAAGGTTCTCAACTGACAGGATAAGAGGGACATAACATGCGACTGCAGTGATTCCTAAGCCATACTGTTTATGTGAGGCGAACCGATGATGTCTGAGAACGGCTCATTCATTGGAGGCTGACTCATAAATCCAGGTGCAAGGTCGTGTATCGACCGTATGCTTAGACCTGGCTTTGGCCTTTCCATCGACTACGTCCGTGTCCATCTTCAACCTTGCTGCCTGTCTTAATTAAAGCACGGTAGTCGGTATGTAGATGCTGCACAAGTCGCCGGTGTGTGACGGTAATTCGTCATCTCTTGTAGCGGACGAAATTAGCGTATGCAAATGACCGCGTTCGAGTTCGACTATTTCCACTGCGTGCTTCACGGCAGGCTAAAAGCAAGCGTGGTGACTCGTGCTTGAATTATATTCGTAGTAAACTTCCGCTGCATCTGCCACAGTCTTCCCTCATGCTCGATGTCAGGAAGAGCGGAGGCGGGGTCGGGCGCAAGTCACTGACGCGGTAAAGTCTGCACCTAGGCGGACCACCGCTCTCTCTCTCTCTCTCTGGATATGGACAACGGCATTGATCCCAGTTTATACGGCCTGGGCAGCCTGCCGCTGCACCCCATCCTACACACCCACAGTGTGTGGGCCTGCGTTCTCTCCCATTTTCGGACTCCTTTATTCTTCCAGGACACCGGGTCCGGGTATGGGAGTGGAAGAGAGAACGAGGCAGATGCATCCAAAGTCTCCTCTCCCTATAATCCCTGCGCCACCTGTTGCGGTACGCATGACGGACTTAATCGATGGTCGAACTGTCGGCAGATGTGTCAGCATGGCCGTGGACGCCGCTGTAATGTATGCACATGTGGCCCAGCAGACTCACGTGGTAAATGAATGTGCGAAGGCAGTGCAAATAACAGTCTCTGCTGCGTGTTGGTGTTGCAGGCAATGGTGTGTCAGTCTATGTCATAAATCTGCAAGTGTCCGGTCTGGCCGATGCGTTGAGGTGGATGTGCAATGGCAGTGAGGACAGGTGGGAACTGAGTCCTCGTAATTAGTGTTGGTAAGGATTGTGATTGCGACTTTTCTCGACAGTGACGGGACGAAGGAGACTTGGAGTAAATCCTTTGGAACATACCTTTTCGGGCTCAGTCCGAAAGTTGAAATAAATATTTGAGTTATCATTGAGCGGCTACTCCGGAGTGGCTATGTCATATTCATAACCTGTTAACAGATAACCATTAGTGCAGAACTGCGGAATTATTTACCATACTGACAGCCCAGTTACTGTCTGAAAGCCTGGTCGGACAGGTTTCGTCGTATTCATGCCGCTGCCTGAGGTAGTTACCGGCGGTTCGATTCATAAATAAGTCCCCCGGAGTTAAGCGTGTCTTTTCTGGCATACTAACTCTAGTTGCATCCTTTATCGTTTAGTTTCCGAGGCAATTGATGCACGAACTATGAGTTAATTATTCAAAACTAACTTCTTCAGACTCCGTCCGAAAACTTCTATGGATATTTGGGCTGATATCCATCAATTACTGTGGAATAGTTAGTACTTGTGCTTTCAGAGGTTAAATAATAACGTAGTTCTATCCCACTGACTGTCTTTTGGCAGCTATTCCTCAGTAGCTGATGGACGTCAGCCCAACTACTCACATCGGCTTTCGGATCGAGTCTGGGAAGGTTAGTTCCGGAGGATTTGAATGAAGCTCGCGCATCAATTTCCTTGTTAATAGTAGCTAAAGAGTTTAAAAAAGATTATTAGTTCTCGATTCTTTCCAACGTTTCAAAACATGCTATCGTGTTTTTCAGCTGAAGTAGATTTCCGTAGTTCTATATGCTTCTATAAATGAGCGTAGTGTTCATTGTGTCGTGCAGATCACGTTGTAGACAGTGCGTAGCACTATTACTCTGTAGCATAATAGGCTACAACAATATTCATGTCAGTGTCTTCAAAAACTTGAGTAATTATAAGTTAAACCACCACTACGCTAGCCGCCTTTATGGATGAACTGTGCAGAAAAAGTGGCTTCCTAAGAAGTGAGTGCAGTATGTCCTTTTTACTTTTTCAACAGCCTAGGGCTGCATTTATATGGGAACGCATACTAATTAGAGAAATTCGCACCTACCATATACTGGTGTTTCCGGCGCAAGTCACGCAGATGACTGGAAAGAAGGTAATTTAAGACCAGGCTGCAACCCTGCGAGATTTCACGTGGGATTGTCTTTTTCATCAAGTAGGTGTTGATCTGTCTTTACTAATTGGCCCCCTTGCAAGCATATCGAAAATTTTGTAAGCATTATGCTTGTTCAAAATATTGAAAAGCATCGTGAAGCAGAGACACTGAGCTCTTTTACTAAACACACCGATGTTATTTGTGCAGCCTTTGTGTCAAGATAAGTTGGTGATACTTGGGAAAATCCGGGTGGAACTTCGTGAGGAAAAAATACTTATCTAACAGGCGGCTGTCAGGTGACAAAGTGCACTAATTTTAATAACCTCACGCTCATTGCGAGCATTCTAAATATTTAAAGTTTCCTCTAATGCAATATTTTACGGAATATTCCACTTTTCGCCGCTCAGAAGCGATTGTCTGAACATAGTGGCTGGCAATTTTATTCTCTCTTTCACTCTATTTTCGTATTTTAGGCGTTCTAGGTGAAAATGTGAGCTTACAACCTAGTAAGGCTCACTGCTTGTATACTTGGCGACCGGAGCAGGGTAAAAACAGTTAAGGCGAGCCCGATAAGGAATGCATTTCTGAAAGATCTAGGGGGTACATGTAGTCGGTCATCTATAAAGGGCACGTCAAACTTGACGAGCGATACGTGTAAATGAATAAAAATGTCCGAAGTAACAAGTGACAATTCCTGGCCGTCATCAGTCATCCACATCGCAACTGCATACCCGGATAACACGGGTTAGTTTTTCCTTAAACAATATGTAAAACGTTTCATGCTTGGTTTACAAGGGTCCTGTAGGATTATTTTTAGTAATCTAGAATTTCTGCAAGATCCAAAATACTTGCATTGATAATAAATTCCACTTTGATCTGAAGAGCATGAACAGCCGATATCCACTTTTCCAGAGGACATAAATGTGTACGAACTTCTCAAGTTAAGACGAACGCAGTATTTGCCACACCGATATAGTAACCACAAGACCGAAATCCGATAGTTTTCTACACTATTTTCCGTTATTTACTAGATAAGTATGTGATGTCGATTTAGGTTCATGTGTCTCAATATTGGAATCAAGCCATTTTCACAAGCTTATGTGTAAACTGCATAGGAACTACAGTATATTGTATATGTGATGAAATGTGTAAATCAAAAACTGAGTGGAGGATTTAACCCAAATTTGAGGTTATTTTGCTCATTTAGTTAA